TTACCTTTTCTAGAGTTCTTTGGTCCTTTATGCAGATCAACATTATCATCTTTCTTGTTGCTTGATGAGCTTCCTCTAATAATCCTTGGCCCGTGTTCAACTAACCATAAAATCCCTTTGCTTTTGTTCATCTAATGACCTGTGTTTTATGATAATTTTTCCAATGTGTTTTCACTACATACAAAAGTACTTTCTTGTAGTACTTAAAGATGCTGGTACAGTGTCTTCAGAACTGCAGTTTCCAATGAGAAGTCGCCAGCCCTCCTCTGTCTGTCATGCCTCTGTTCTGCCTGTCTCCTTAAGCTTTTCCTCTTTATCACTTCTACTTCTTTCTTCAGTCTGGCAATCGTAGTTTCTCTGGTCATCATTGTAATTTTCCAGGCAGGACTTCTCCTGGGACTACTTTAAAGGTGAATCCAATACTAAGATTTTACCTTTCTAAAGATTCTGATCCATGTATTATGTTACCCTTCTACTTTATTGGGTTAGAAGCTTAACTATCTTCAGCCTTATATGAGCCCTGAGGGTTATGTGATCACTGATTCCACATCTTATTTCCTCACCTTTTCTTACATGTGTATAAATGACTAACCAGTCAGGTATTCTGAGGTATCTCTCTGCATATTCCTAAAGTGCAAGTCTGGAAAGAATGCCTCTCTTTGGCTCTTTGCCTCAAAAGTTCTAGTTGTCTTGTATTTTCCAGTCTCAGTCTCCTCAGCCCAGGTTAAGCTTGGATTAGTCTTCTAGCACAGAGTCCTCAACAGCCGAGGGTACAAACTATATGAATCACCAGTTTATAGTTCATCCCTTTCCTTTTATTAATCTCATAAAATAATTTTTATAGTATATTTATTCCTGTTTTCTACTCTTAAATTAGAAACACAATTTCTATAAAAATAATCAAATCTCTTACTGGAAAAATGGAAATCTTCCAGTCTTTCTGTTTCTTCTAGATTATGTAAGACATATTTTTGAACCTTCTGAGCATAAAGCACACATGGATATTTTATTTTCATGTCTGTGTTCCTTAGACTACATCGCCTGTTCACCTATTCAATCCCACTTAGGATATTCCAATTACCAGGGACCTGCCCTGTGGCCCTGACTAAATTCAGCAGCAGCATCTTGCCTCATTCTTCCTCCAGTGTTTGATAAGTATTAGAATCTGACAGATGTTAATGAGATTCCTGCTCACCTTGTCTATAACTACTCCATAGGACACTTTGCTGCAGAAGACATAGCCTCTAGGGTTGGGAGCTTGAACAAGAACATGGAGTCTCTCCATGCTCGAGCCACTAGGCGGCAGAATGCCCTGGAGGCCAATGTCCAGCTCCAGCAGTACCTGGCAGATCTGCATGAAGCAGAATCCTGGATTAAAGAGAAAGAACCCATCGTAGACAACACAAACTACGGAGCTGATGAGGAAGCCTCTGGGGTAAATGGGGTGGACAATGAACAGGGAATCCAAATTGTTCATCTGGAGCTTGTTTAGATTAAGTTTCTGCCGGATTATCTTGGGTTTCAAGAGTGCTCCCTTTGGGCCTCTACCTGCTGGGACAATGATCCTAAAATAGGTTTCTCTAATCTCAGAGAAATCCTTTGTCCCAAAATGCAAAGCATGTGACAAAGATCCATACCTATCTTGATCGCATTCTGAATTTCTCAGAGTAACTTTGGGCTTTCATAGGACAACCATAGTTTTAAGATAGACATCTTAATTCTTTTATTGAAGTAAAGTCATACAGAAACATCTGAGCGTGAAGAACCTTAGAGATCATAATTACCTTCACATATGCTTATGTTCACCACTTAGTTTTGTTCAGTGTCCTGTGGGGGAGCCTGCATAGTACTCATAACCCTTGGAAATAGTTGGAATGTGCATTTAAAGTTTGGCTGATGTGAATCTACACAGCACCGTTGGTATCCCTAATATGGCTCACAGCTATGCTACGCTTCAGTCAAAACTTGTCTAATTTTTAGGTAATTTTGATTTGAATAAACATGCTGAAATTATTATTCATTTGCCAAGCATAATTTTCTTGAGTCTTGCAAATGTCAGATTATAATAACTTTTTAATACATTAAAAGTGGCTCTTACAAGGACTTAAAGCAATCACATGACCAAGTGATAGCACTAGCTGAAGCATCCCAATGGTGCATTTGGTGTTTCTCTGATATTTTCTCTGTTGATCTTTTCATCAATAAATCCAGGCCCTTCTCAAGAAGCATGAGGCCTTCCTGGTGGATCTAGATGCATTTGGGAATAGCATGAACACTCTACGAGATCAGGCCGAAGCCTGCCAGGTAAGAAGAGCTGGAAGATGGCAGTGCTCACATTCCTTGTCACAGAAGCAAAAGATTTATGTTGCTCACTGATTTTTTAATTTCCATCAACCAGAAAACAATTACGAAGAAAATACTAGTTCTGTAATCATTTTAGGAAAGAATTTTGACCTCTTTTGAAATGTTCAGTAAATATTATGTACTCATTAATGTCTGTTTTGGTTTTCTCATTTGTTCTTTTTTTTTCCATTTTCCTATACCCTCCCTCTTTTTTCCCTTTATCTACATCTCTTTTTATCATCTTCTGAATTCTCTTGCTTTATTACCTAGCTTTGATTTCAATATCAAGATTTATTAAATATATAGGTTCAGGTATTGATACATACAATCATGTCAGAAAATTGTTTGTTTAGAATCTAGGATATAAACAATAAGTATTTATAATGCATGCATAAACAGAAAATGGAACCCAGAGAAGAGCCTTCTGTTCTCCTGAAATATGAGTGCCAGAAAACAGAAATAGGTTTTTTGGTCAAGATATAAGATAGAGCTTTTGTAGTCCATAGACCATGAGAATACTTGTTCTGAGACACAAAATCATCAAGTACATTTGAGAGATCAGAAACTCAGTTGGCTGAGATTGTTTGAATGGCTAAACAAAGGATAAAAGGGAGTGGTGAAGTGGGATCGATTTGGAATCAAGTAAACAACACAACAGGTTCCTGTATCAGGGGCATGCTTCTTATATTTAAGGAATTCTTTATGATGAGAGATTGAGAGTTCACACACTCAGGGTAGAGAAAAGACACAGATTGAGCATGGCAAGTCAAAATATGCTCATAGTGTTCCTGCTTCCCCTCTACTGGGCTGTGCCCTGTGAGTGCCTGGTCATAGACAGACAAAGTGATCCATCGTATGTTATGAGGAAATGCAGCAGGTGAGGAACGTTAATCCAGACGATCTGTAGGGGCATTTCAGTTTTAACACTAAGCTGAAGGGGATATTTTCAGGAGATACAATACTTGTAAAATCAAAACAGAAAACTGTATCCCGGAGAACAGATGGATTGCTAAAAAGAAGCAGAAGGCATTTGAAAAATATTTTTGTTCTCAATTTTGTTCAAGTTCGATGGCTTTTCCTGAGCTATAGGTTGTCAATCTGGAAAGTAGAAAGTTCTCAGTCCCTTGGCAAAATGAAATAAAGGCCAAACAGGTGACAAAAACTGTTTGTAGAGGCCCAGAGAAGAAAGGGAAAGTTATGTCAGAGCCAAGGTCTTTCCTGTCCTCAGTTTTCTGAAATATTGATGTGTGTATTCTTGGGAAGACATTACCCCTCCCACTTTAAGAACAGTAGCTTTGAACATTTAATGCTCCTGACAGAATGCTTATTTACTTGCTGACTGTGCCCTTAGCTTCCAGTCTGCCAGTTCTCTGGTAGGCATTCAGTGGTGCAGCATTTCTGAAGAGCACCACTAATATTTGGCATAGGAGCTGCTATCCAGGGCTTTCCTCTCCCATGTGGCTCCAGGAACTGCCTACCACTGGGAAACCATATAGGGAGAGTTGTCTGATGGACATCTGCATCCCAGTTTGTTTGTTTTTCCGTAGCAACAGCAGGCTGCACCAGTGGATGAGGCTGCTCAAGAAGTTAAGGTTATAGTTGTAGCTGACTTCCAAGCCAGCAACCCCAGAGAAGTCACCGTGAAGAAGAATGATGTCTTAACTCTGCTCAGTTCCATCAACGAGGTGACTTTCCCTTTAATTTTCTTCCCACCAACGACATGGTTTTTCCACAGCTATCTCTCCTGACCCTACCAGACATGCACCTTCACCACTCAGCATTTTAATTATTTATCCCTTAAATAATTTATTAAGTAATATCTTTTCTTAAAATACTGTGTAAGAGCAGACAGCTAAACACACAAATAGATGATACTGGTAAGTTATCTATAGATATAGATAACTTTTAGGGTTTTGAGAGTTCTAGTTTTAAATTCACCATTAAGAAAATAATCAAAACAGTTAAGGAATTAGCCTGAAGATATATATGGTGGGAACAATAAAGCATGTGATGTATTCACAGAACTAGTTTGTCCTTTTCTTTCTATATCTGTTCTTTCCCCCATCTGTTCCAGTATTCCACTTAAAAAAAAAAAAAAGAACAATAATGCTCAGGGTTTGAAGTATTCTGATAAAAGATG